TTCCAGATTTTTCTTTGTCTCATGCTTTGTGTTTTTCATCTCCAACCTTTCTGATTCATTTTTCTGTATAGTTTCAATCTCTTTTGTGAAGAATTCCCTCTGCTCATTCGTTTTATTCCTGATTTCATTGAACTATCTTCCTTAGTTTTCTTGTAACTCGTTGAGTTTCTTCATGATAACTATTTTGAATTCTCTGTCATTTAGATTGTAAATTTCTGTGACTTCAGAATTGATTTTGGGGCCCTTGTCATTTTCCTTCTGGTCTTGAGTGTTAATATACTTCTTCATGCTATTTGATGGGGTTGACTTGTGCCATCATGTAGTGGTAGTATTTGGTTGAAAGTTCCACCTGCCACCACTGGGGGCAGGCAGGAGCTGTGTATTCTGAGCCTGCCATGATCCCTGGCAGCTGTGTCTGTCCTTTGGAAGTTGGGCCAACCAGGGCTTGTCTGCGTTTTCAAACTGCCCACTGCTGCTTTACACACGTAGGCACAAAGGCCTTCTGGCAAGAGTCCCCTGCTGTGGCCTACTGGCTGAACTGGTGCATCAGGCAGGTGGGGGGCTTTATTTCATGTGCATCATCCTGGGGGTGCCCCTGGCCTGCACTCACTGTCTTCCCTCCTAGGCTGTTTAGTTTGGTGAATACGCCCCTGCAATTGCTTAGCCTCCTTGGTGTGGAGCGTTCCCATGGGCTGGAAGGCAACTCCAAGAGCAAAGGCGCTCCCATGGGTGGCTGCCCTTTCCCCTCTTTCCACTCAGGTTGCATGCTGGCCTCCATGCATGGTCCCACACCCTAGATCACTGCTGTTTGGAGAGGGAGAGGAGATCCCCTTACCTCCTTCCACTGCCTTCCAGGGGGTCCAGCACCTCCACCTTCAGACATATGGCTGCGTGGATATCTCAGACATTTATTTTGTTGTGTGATTGTCCTCTGTTGGTTTATGAATGTCTTTTCTTGTTGTATCTTATGGGGAGAGACTAAGGGAAGAGCTCACTCCACCATGATGCTGATGTCACTCCCTCAAGTACTTTTTCAGGCCCTCCTCTTTCTCCTCTCTATCTGGAACTCCAATAAGATGATTATTAGTCTTTGTTGTTGTTGTTTTGATACACAAGTGCCTGAATCTCTGGGTTTTTATTTTTCAATATTTTGTCTTTCGGTTGCTCATATTAGGTGATTTCTATTGGTGAATCTTTGAGTCTAATGACTCTTTTCTCTATCATTTCTGTTTTGCCATTAAGTCCATTCAGTGACTTTTTATTTTGATTATTGTACTTTTCAGTTTTAAAATTTCTACTTTATTCTTGCTTATATCTCCTATTTCTTTGCTGAGTCTTTCTATTTTAATATTTGTTTCAAGATTGTGATTGCTCATTCAAGCATTTTTGTAATAGATAATTTAAGACAATTCCAAAGTCTGTGTCATCTCATTATTCATTTCTTTTGATGGTCTCTTTTCACCTGAGTTGAGATTTCATGGTTATTTGCATGTTGATTGATTTTAGTTTGTATCTTGGACATTGTGAACATTGAGACCCAGAATCTTGTTTATATCCTATGGAAGTTGATCAGTTCAGTTTTCAAAACTTTTGCAGTACTATGTAGATCAGTCTTGCATGTACACCACCTAGTGGTCAGTCTGGGACTTGGGTGGAGGTTTACTTGCTAGTTCAGTTTCCAAATATTTCGTATGCTGATTAGAATTGGATCAAAGCACACATAGGTCAGAATTGAGCCCAGGAATTCAAAACAACATCAGCTTTTCTAAACTATTTCCTCTCCCTTATTTTTTCAGTACTTTCCAGTTCCTTAGTTTCCCATTTTCTGCCCTCTATTCAGAAACCAGCCACTTTCTTGGTTGTACCACTTGCATAAACAATTTGCAGGAGGAGACAGAGAGGAAAAATTAGTTTGAAGTTTAGTTTTGTTCTCTTGATGCTGTGCCTCCATCTAGAGAAAAGACCTCATCCCTTAGAGCTTTGATTCCTGGAGGTTCCCATTATGGATGGACCACACTTGCTTCTGGGCTGCCTTTGCTATCACTGCCCCCACTGTGGGACCAAAGAAGAAGTAGAGTAAATAAAAACCTGAGGGATTTCCAACACTCTCTCTGAACATTAGGAGCTCTCTTTTCCACTCCTCAGGCCATAGCTTCAAGGCTTCTCCTGTATCTCACTTTGTCTGCTAAACAATGCTCAATTTTGGGTTTCATGTCATGTTCAATTCAGGCTCAGGATGCTGGAAGGAAAAAAAATAATATTGAACTTATAACTGTTTAGGGGGTATTTCAAACTCTAATACTCTTCCCTGCCCCACCTACCTATTTTTGCTTTTTAGTTTTCAAATAGGTGTCCATCCATTCTATCAAGGTTTTATATTTGAGTTAAGTGAGATATAAAAGAAAGTCCTAGAAGTGGACCCAGCTCTATGTGTTTTAGGCAGCATATATTTGGGTCTTGCTTTTTATCCAATCTAACAATCTCTGTCTTTTAATTGGTGTGTTTAGACAATTCATATGTAAAGTGGTTATTGATATAGTTGGATTAAAGTCTACCATCTTGCTAACTGTGTTTTCTATTCATTGCATGTGTTCTTTGTTTCTTTTCTCTCTCTCTCTTTGCTTTTTCTTATTTTATTTAAGCATTTTTTATGATCCTGTTTTATCTCCTCTATTTACTTGTAATTTATGTCTTTTTTTTTTTTTTACTTTTTAGTAGTCCCCCTAGGGTTTACAAGGTACATTTTAAAATAATTTGGGCTCACCTTCAAATAATACTATATTGCTTCATGTGCAGTGTGAGTACTTCATAACAGTATATTCTCAATTTCTTCCACCTTTTCCTTGTGTCATTGTTGTATTCAATTCATTTCTATGAATGCTGTAAACACCCAATACATTGTTACTATTATTGCTTTAAACAGTCAGTTATCTTTTAGAACAATTAAGAATATGAAAAACCAAAAGATATATTTTGCCTTCATTTATTCCTTTTCCAATGCTCTTCATTTATTTATGGAGATCCAATTTTCTGGCCTATAGCATATCCCTTCTGCCTAAATAATGTCCTTTATTATTTCTCATAAGGTAGGTCTGATGGTGATGAATTTCCTGTTTTTGTTTGTCTGAAAAAAAGTCTTTCTTTTGCCTTCATTTTTGAAGGACGTTTTTGCTGAATTCAGAATTCTGGATCAGCGGATTATTTTTACTTTCAAGGTTTCATTCTACTGTCTTTTTGCTTATATGGTTTCTGACAATAAGTCTAATGTAATTTTTCTCTTTATTCTTCTGTAGGTAAGGTGTTCCTCCCACCCCTTTTTCCTGGCTGTCTTCAAGATTTTATTTTTGTCTGATTTTCTGGAGTTTGAATTTGATATGTCTGGGTGTGGTGTGGTTCTTTTTAAAATTTTATTTACTCATCTTGGTGTTCTTTGAGACACTTGGATCTGTGATTTGGTATCAGTCACTAATTTTGGAAAATTTTGGCAATTATTTCTTCAAATATTTCTTCTTCCCCATTCTGTCTCTCTTCTCCTGATATTCGAATTACATATATATTACACTGTTTGATAATGTCCTAATGTTCTTGAATATTTTATCCTGTTTTCTTTTTTTCTCTCTGCATTTCAGTTTGTGTAATTTCTATTGATCTATCTTCAAGTTCACCGCTTCCTCAGCTATGTCAAGTCCACTGATGAGCATATTTAAGGCATTCTTTAAATCTGTTATTTGTGTTTTTTCTCTTGCATTTATGTTTGAGTCTTTCTTATACTTTCCATCCCCCTGCTGAAATTACATATCTAATCTTGCATGTTGTCTACCTTTTCCAATAAAGGCTTTAACATATGAACCATATCTGTTCTAATTTCCCTGTCTGATAATTCCAACATGTGTGTCATAACTGAGTCTGGTCCTGATGATTTCTTTGTCTATTCATACTGCTTTTTTTTATTGCTTTGATTCTTCCCTTCATGCTGCTGCCTGAAGACAATTTATCTCTTGCATTCTTTAAAGATGTAGAATGCTATTATTTTACTTGATGTCTTTTTAGCATGGTAGTGGGAAATAGGGGACTAAGGACATTCTATGTTTTTCTGATTAAGCCTCAGTCTTAGGCAGGCTTATCCTGAGTCTTGGAGGTGTAACTTTCACAAGTGTTCCTGCTCCTCCTCTAAATACAATGGTGGGCCTAGCACATATTCCTGCCCCACCTGGGTTAGAGCATTTTTTCTGTTTTCCTTCTCGAACTATACTGAATTTCCACCAGTGCCTTCAGTTCCTGCTGTCCTTTCTTCTGCAGATTTAGGGTCATTTTCCCTAAGGGAGAAAGAGTATATTGGTCTGGGTAGAGTTTCAGTGGTATTGGCCATTCCTCTCTGCCAGCTGCAGTGAATTTCCACCAGTGCTCTCAAGCTATAGTTTTATTGCCTTTTCCCATGAAGATTAAGGATTTTGTTCCATAGGGTACATAGGGAGAATGGTCTGTGCACAGTTTAAGCGATGGCTGCTGTTCTGTTTCCCTCCCCAAGCCAGAACTATAGGATATCTTTCTGAGGATTCTTCTCAGTCTTTCCTGTCAGCACCTGGTGGAATTCCTAGAGGAAAAGTCTGCAAGAGGATGCAAAACCACCTGTGTCTGCACCACTCAGGGGCTTCACATTCTCACACTAGCCCACAACCAACCTTTAACAATTAATTAACGATTTTTAACTGAATCTAATGAGTGTATATGTTGTTCAGTAGTATCTGCAAAAGAATAAGCAAATACCTGGGCCCTGTTGCTCCCTGCAGATACCTGTCTCTACAGATTTGGGGTTAGCTGTTTGCACTGCTATCTCAGTTTTATGATGAATTCAAGAGAAGTCAATTTGCAATTTTCCAGGGTTTTTTTCTTGTTACAATGGTGGGAGAGATGCTCTTTCCAATGCTACATCTCTGAGTTGATACCAGAAGATCATGAAAACCTGGGGATAAGCTTTTGAGGCTCTATTTGTCTTCCAGCAACCATACCCCAGTTTACCAATTCCCCTACAATGGTGATCATGGTGGGTTTACCAGCTCGAGGAAAGACCTACATCTCCACGAAGCTGACAAGATATCTCAACTGGATAGGAACACCAACTAAAGGTATATGTCTGAAACTCTTTGTTCTACAGCCATCTACAGGCTACTGGCTGAAAACAGAGTAAGGTAGCAGGTGGCAGAAGGGACAAAGCCCTCAGTACCAGGAATATCTCAACCCATTATTACCAGTATTAGGACTATTACTACTATTACTGCTACTATACTACTATTACTACTATTACTACTACTACTACTACCATTGCCAATACACTCATAAATTTTACAATTTCTTGAGCACATACTCTGCCCAACCCCATGCTAGGTGCAGGCATAGGAAAATTAGTAAGATGAAATGTCTGTTCTCAAGGAGCTCCATTATTGCAAGACCTCCAAACAACTCTATGAGTAACATACTATTTTTATTGCCATTACTATTATTACCACAACAATATTATTTTTATTAGCATCAACATTTCTTCACAATTTTCTTCAAACCTTAGGAGCTGTTGAAGCACATTGAAGCCACAGCCTGGAGGCCCCCACAGGGTCTTTTTTGAAGCTGGGCACCTTAGGTCACCTCATCCTCCCGAGTCCAGAAGGCTTCTGCTCTCTCCAAACCTCTCCTTAGGTCTGAGCCTGTCCTGCTTCTTTCCTCCTACAGAGGGGCCTCCTTCCCTGCCTGTCGACCTCCTCCCTAGCTTCCTACTTCCAACTTTCCATTCTCCTCAATGTGGTCTCTTTTCTGCTTACTACCCCTTATTGAGCAATCACTCTTCTATTCTCCATTTGATTTTTCTATCCGCCACCCTATATCCCCATTCCTATCTGATTCCTCTGTTCCCTGGAGGAGGACTGTGCTTCTCTGAGCTCCCAGGCCAACTCTTCCTACTGCCCCCTCTATGCAAACACTAATTACATAGTGTGTTGTTGCAGTGTATTTCTGGGTCTGTCTCCCCAGCAGCTGCTCAGGGGGCAGGGGACTAGGTTATGTTCATTTCTGTTTCTCAATTATGACCAGATTAAGACATTTGGAGGCTCTAAACACTAAAAGATAGGGTGCCCCCAAGTCATATGTAATTCAGAATAAAAACAGTGAATGTAAGAAAGTCTACTAAAGGTTTTTATTTATCCCCTGGTGACTATATTGATGCTTTTAAAGAATATCAACTTATCTGAAAAATTTTATTGGGGTCATGTTTCTCCTTTACTGGTGCACTAAGCAAGTATTTAGACTCTGTCTTGTGAAATGGAGCACTGGTCCCCAGTGCAGAAAACAGTCCTCCTCAAGCATTCATTTATTCACTCAATCATTAATTATTTGTTGAGCACACAGCTGTGCCAAGGCCCTTGCTGGATGTTGGGCAAAGAAAGAGAAGTAAGATGGGATGCCTGTCCTCAAAGAACTCACATCTATTCTTAAGTTCTAAGATGTTCTTAAGTACTCCTACGAAGGAGGAACTAGTACTATCATCATTTCACAGTTGACAAAATTAATGCCCAAGAGGTGAAGTGCCTTGTGTAAAGGTACATAGCCAGTAAGTGACGGAACCAGGATATAAACCCACATCTGGTTGATTCCAAAGCCTGACACTCACTGTGCCAGGTCTGATTCTTGGCTCTACTGATGGGAAGAGAAAAGAATCCCACATTGGCCCTGTACTCTACATTCTCTTCCCCTCCCTGTACTCTACATTCTCTTCCCCTCCTTTCTCTTCATCCCAACACCCTATCTATCTGCCCCCTTCCCTCCCTCTCTCCAAGTCTTCTCTTCTCTTTCTCCCATTTCCTCTTTCCCTTCATGTACTTTCTCTTTCTCTAATTCACTGATGAAGAGTTTCCCAATGGTTTTCCATGTGCCAAAATCCATGCTAGGCATTGGAGGCGCAAAAATGGGTGAGAGTCACACCCTGTCCTTGAAGAGTTCTCCATCTGGCTGGGATGCGTAAGAATACCTTATGTCACCTAGGAATCCCAGAGCAGGGTGCTGAGAGGGCTCATAGAGGAAATCACCAACTGGAAGGCAGTGAAAGCTTCCAGATAGGGTATGTTTGAGCTGGGTCCTATGGGAGGAGTAGGACATTGGCAGAAGAGAAGAGGAGAAGGAACAGTTCTCGTGGAGGACTGCAGGCTCTGGGGAGCCTCTGCTGAGTGTAGGGGCACATGGGACAGTGGTGGATGGGTCTCTGCTCTAATGAGCCTGCTTCCCATCTGCTCCACTCCAGTCCATTCTCACAGAGGCCCTCAGAGTTATATTTCAAAGCACAAAGCTGACCATTCCTATAGCCTCCAAGGTCCCCTTGGCCTGCAGGTTTAAATCCAAGCTCCTTAGCCTGTCATTCAAGGCCCTCCATGACCAGCCCTTGCCAATTTCTCAGGCCTCAGTCACAGTGGATGACTCATCATCCCCTAAGCATGTTCTGCCTTCTGCCAATGCCGTACCTTTGTTCAAGCTGTTCCTCTACCTGGGGTGTCTTTGTTCCCCACTTCCATCCCCCCTTCCTGATTGTAAAAGGCCTGCCTTCCTAAAAGGACCTGTTCAAGTGCTGCTTTCTCCAAGAAACCATCTCAGATCTCTCCAAGTTTAATTAGTCTTTCCTTCCCCCTTACTCCTTTGCATGGCTCTGTCAGTGCACTTAACAAACTGAGTGGGAACTCTCTGTTTACAGGTTTACTCTCAGTCCTACCTGCTGTACTGTGAGCTCCTTGGGGCCCCATTACGCAGAGCTAGTTCATGTCTGACACCACAGAATACATGTCCTACTTCACTGAGTAGACTGCAGAAAGTATTCATTGGATGAATAAATGAAATATTATATTATCTCTTCACCTATTATCCCCTTTATTTTCCTTTCCTTCCCTCCTCTGTAGTTTTTCTCAATTATAAATGAGAAAGTATGGCCTAGAGAGGGCAATACATTTAGATTCTCTCTCATGATACAGAACAATATAACAACATTGAACTGGGATTCAGAAAGCTCAGTCTAGTTCTGTCACCAGCTGCCTCACTGTTTGACCCTTGGTGATTGATTTTACTCCCTAGATCTCAATTTCTTTATCTTTCCAATGGAGTAGGGCATTAAAACAATTGGAGTTTATGATAAAATAGAATAGTGGAAAGACCACCAGTTTTGGAATCAAACAGACCTGAGTTTGAATCCCAGCTCCCCACTTATTAACTGAGAAAGGTATTTACTATCTCTGAACTTCAATTTTCTCATTTGTAAATAAGAATGGTGATTCCTACTTTACAGGGCTGTTCTAAGGACTAAATGAGCTGGTAGTCCTAATTTGAAGCTTTATAAGCATATTATATAGCTAAAAATTATACCTTCTTCTATGAGATCCCTCCCAGCAAGGACATTTTTTTTGCCACTGGGATCTTCCCAACCTCTTTACCAGGGCTCCCTGCTTTCAGTGTTTAATTTAGGCCAGTATCGCCGAGAAGCAGTGAGCTACAAGAACTACGAATTCTTTCTCCCAGACAACATGGAGGCCCTACTTATCAGGAAGTAAGTACCTAATATTTTAGGGACCTGTGCTGCGCCCTGGCTGAGGGAGGGCTTTGTTCAGATGATGGGGGAGGGGAGCAGAGCATCTTGGGTTAGCGAGGAGGCCCTCTAGGCTCTCAAAGTGTGGTTGAGACAGCCCTTTTACCATCCTACACAAAGCCTCTTTATGGTCATAACCATCCCCTGCTTAAGAACTTTTAATAGTCTCTTACCTCTGACAGGAGAGAGTGGAAACTTCTCAGCCTAGCATTAGAGACAAGAGTCTCAATAGCTTGGCCTACTCCAGTCTCTCCAGTCTCATTCATTCAACCTCGAGGTCTCTCGCCTCTGTAAGACTGAGGACTTCCAGAGCAGAGCCCTGTTGTTAGTGCCACCTAATTGATTCCAACTCCTAGTGACCCTGTGTACAGCAGAGTGGAATCTTGCCCAGTCTTTTGGCGTTGCTCCACTGCTGTTCATAGCGTTTTCATGGCCAATGTTTTCAGAAGTGGGTGGCCAGGTCCTTTTTCCTAGTGTGTCTTAGTCTGGAAGCTCTACTGAAACCTGTCCACCAGGGGTGACCCTGCTGGTATTCCAAATACTGGTGGCATAGCTTTCCGCATCACAACAACATGCAACCACCACAGTATGACAACTGACAGATGGGTGGTGTGGTTCCCTGACCAGGAAACGAACCTGGGCCTTGGTGATGAGGGCACCAAATCTTAACCACTAAACCACCATGGCTAGCTAGAATAGAGCCTGGGTCTCATTTATTGATCCATGCCTTCATAATAGAACCCAGCACAGAGTAATCACTAAATAGATTTTTATGGAAAGCATAAATACATTACTACTATCATACCTGTGCTTGCACTGTTACCCATGCCAGGAATGCCTTCTACTTCACAGACCATATACCCAGGCTCTACCTGGCGTCAAGAACCAGTTCAGCTTGAGCTCTATTACTTCAAGGGTTGGAGCCCTTAATATCATGGCTTCCATCATTAGTCCACGTGTCCTGGGTATGCCACTTTGTGCCTGCCCCTAAGATGTGCAAACAGAGCCACTTACAACTGCGTGACCTCTCTGTGCTTGTCATGGTGCCTAGAACACAGGACACCTTGTGTAGATATTTTATAGATGAATAATTTAATGTAGGACATCTGAGACATGGTGCTAAAGATAATTCAGAAAAATAGAGAGGAACCCATCTTGGGGATAGGGATTGTCTCTATTTCTTTCTCCATCTTTTTCAGGCAGTGTGCCCTGGAAGCCCTGAAAGATGTCCATGACTATCTCAGCCATGAGGAAGGTCATGTTGCGGTAAAGAAATTTGCATTTTCCCTCGGGTTTCTGTTGGGATGTAGAGCAGCTAATATATATTGAGCATTTACTATGTTCCATACATTACTCTAAGTACTTTGCACATATTAATTTAATTCCCCCTCCCCTGTGAGACAGGGGGACATAACATAATTGTTATTATGCCCCATTTTATAGCCCAGAAAATTGGCACACAGAGAGATTAAATAATTTCCCAAGATGGTACAGTGTGTATGTGGCAGGGCCAGAACTGGAATCCAGGTTGTATAGCTCCAGAATCTACACTCTTAACCACTAGGCTCTACCACTCCACCCCCAAGAATTCAGCAGGACTACACTAGAATTTAAGACTATAGTACAAACATTTTTGAGTTCTAGAGATTTACCTAAACATCTAGTCAATTTAATCTCATAGACCCTTGGGATAGGATTTATAAATTCTAAAAGGGAAAGAGATCCTCAAATATATAAATGGTCCCATCTAAGGTGCTGAGGATAGGGAGTTGTTTCCTGTTCTTTAAGAGCTCCAGGGGCCGGCCCCGTGGCTTAGTGGTTAAGTGCGCGCGCTCCGCTACTGGCGGCCCGGGTTCGGATCCCGGGCGCGCACTGACGCACTGCTGCTCCGGCCATGCTGAGGCTGCGTCCTACATACAGCAACTGGAAGGATGTGCAACTATGACATACAACTATCTACTGGGGCTTTGGGGGAAAAAAAAGGAGGAGGATTGGCAATAGATGTTAGCTCAGAGCTGGTCTTCCTCAGCAAAAAGAGGAGGATTAGCATGGATGTTAGGTCAGGGCTGATCTTCCTCACAAAAAAATAAATAAATAAATAAAACTGTTAAAAAAAAAAAGAGCTCCAAAGTGATAGAGAAGGAAGAAGCCTCAACTAGGAGTTGAGAAAATCAGTTTTAGCTCTGCTCTGTCAGCAACTCTCAGTGACTTTGGTTAAGGCAAATCCTTCCTCTAAATCTCAACTACTTCACCTGTAAAATGGCCCTAATAAAAACCCACAATTTTCCTCTTGCCTTATTATGCCTACAGAGTCTGCTACATTTCTGGAAAGACAGTAAGGGCTCAGTGAGTGCTTGAGAAATTGACATAAGCCGATTCCAAATCCTTGCTATCGTTCAAGACCCTGCTCAAGTTCTGTCCCCTCCTGGAAGCCCTCTACTTAGTACAGGGATGGTCAAAGAGTAGGCATTCTATCAGTGCCAGATTCTGAGTAAACCAATCTCCATCTGCCTCTAGGTTTTTGATGCCACCAACACTACCAGAGAACGACGGTCACTGATTCTGCAGTTTGCTAAAGAACATGGTTACAAGGTACAAGAACACTCCCACTCTTTATTGTTTTTTGTTTTATTTATTTATTTTTTATTGAGGTAACATTGGTTTATAACATTATATAAATTTCAGGTGTACATCATTATATTTCGATATCTGTGCAGACTACATCATATTTACCACCCAAAGGCTAATTACCATCCATCACCATACACATCCGCCCTTTTACTCCTTTAGCCCACTCTCCTTCCCGCTTCCCTTCTGGGAACCCCCAATATAATCTCTATATCTCTGTGTTTGTTTGTTGTTGTTTTTATCTTCCACTTATGACACTCCCACTCTTATCTAGAGCCTACTTATCCAGCACAAACCCCAAAGAAAGGGAAGTCACGGGATTCTGAGCTGCCAAATCAGTTACCCTAGGCTCAACATTCTAATTTGGTTGTATGGCTTTCGAGATCAAAGTTAGAAGCAGCAAAACAGAACAGAGAAGGAGAGGTGCCACATTAGGCAATAGAAGATGATTTCCAACAGGCTGACACTGGAGATGAGGGTAGGGATGAGGAAAGAGGGGAGAGAATCGCCACAGAAAGCATATGTAAGAACTAAAAACCAGTAAAAACACAAAACAGCAATCTTGGGCCATTCAATTTAGAGCCAATATGCCTTATAAAACTCAGAATCCTGAAACACCACTGTATGAAATTATGTTGTCAGAAATGCCTCTAGGGATGACTCAGCGCCATTGAAAAGGGATCAAGCAGTGTTTGGCTCCTACCAAACAGAATTCCCTGCTTGAAATCTCTCTTCTGTTTCTCTTATAGGTCTTTTTCATTGAGTCCATCTGTAATGACCCTGGCATCATTGCAGAAAACATTAGGGTAAGGAGCACCAGTTACCTTTCTTCCTTACTTTACCTCAGACTCAGATCATGCCTAAAAAGACCTCTATTAGGTTAAAGGAGGTATTCTTCCCCAGGCTTCTCCTCCCACTTCCTATATAAACACTCCCTGACTATCCTGGCCTACAATGATCCTATAAAATTAAATGAAGCCAATATAGAGAGAGTCCTTAGTGTGCACCAGGTACCAAGCTTGACTCTCACTAATTTTTCACAACAAACTTGCATGTTAGGAATCATTTCAGTGTTGGAGAGAGGAAACTGAGGTTCCAAGATGAGAAGTGAGTTGTCAAGGGTTAATATAGCCAGAAAGAAGTAGAACTAGGACTGGAACTCAGGCTTAGCTGTCTACCTGGAAAGCTCTTTATTCTGCCTCACAATTTGTATCAGAACTATCACTGCTCTTAGATTCTAGGCATGTTATCTAGAAGCAGATCATTCACCACATTTTATTGTTCCCTATTTCATCAAATTACTGGAGCTCAGGGACAGAAGAGACCTTAAAGGTTACCTCCTGCAGCCCTCCATCAGATACTTGATATCTCAGCTAAATGTTTGTCTGGATTTTCTCTTCATACCTCCAGTGACAAGAAGCTTATTGCTTTCATCAAATGCAGCTCAATCAAGCTGAAATCTGCGTCCCTGAAATTTCCACTCATTGGTCCTCTTTTTGTCCTTTGGGGCTTATAACACGTCTAATCCCTCTATTTCCTCCTCATCCATCCTTCTATCTATCCATTTATTGATTCAACAAAAATAGAATCTATACACCTCGGCTGGGCCATTCTGGGTATTAGAGACATAGAAACAGATAGAGGAGAGTCCTGCCCATAGTCCACAGTCTAGTTAGAGAGACTGACAAGTTTATAGACATAAATCTGTGAGATCAGTGCTGAAATGAGGGAACAAAGGAGGCTGTGGGTGCACAGTGTTGAGGACCTAACCTTGCATTGGAGGGGTAGGGGTGTATCAGGGAAGGCTTCTCAATGAAGGTAATAGCTAATCTGCACCTTGAAGAATGCATAGGAATTCATCAGGTGAAAAATTGGAAATACGGGAATAGCGTATACCAAGATTGGCATCTTCAGGGAACTATAAGTAGCTTAGGTTGGCTAAAGCAAAATGTGTGGAGGAATAGGGGAGCAATGGGAGATGAGGAAGAAGAAATCATTTGGGGCCCAATCATGACAAGCCATGAGTCACTCACTAAAATAATTCATAGTTTGTCCTAAAATATATGAGGAAATTGTCAAGGGTTTTAAGCAAAAAAATGCCATGATCAGATATGCATGCTAGAAATATCCTTCTAGCTGATAGTATGGGGAATACATAAGAAGTAGCAAGACTGTAGACAAAGTAATCAGTCACAAAGCTATAGTGAACATCCAGGCAAGAGAGAATGGAAGCCAACTGGAGAGATATTTAGAAGATAGAGTGGAGAGGATTTGGCACCTGCTAAGAGGTGGCGGATGATAGAAAAAGACATATCTAGGATGACTCCCAGATTCCTTTTAGGCTCAAGTGACTGAGTGGGTGATAGTACCATTCGCTGAGATACAGAATGTGGATGGAGAAGGTAAGTCCTGGAGGATTAGAAGATCCAGCCCTTTAGAAATCTAAAGCCAACATGCCATGTTCTCCCAGTAAACACTGGATACATGTAAGCCATTATGACTCCGGGCCAAGATCTCCTGTTCCTCTTCTTTAACCACTTCTCACATCACAATTTCTGGCCCTCATATAAATGTTCTGCTTAAACAGTGTGTGCTCTGCAACTGAATATAATGTAAAAAACCTTGTTTGACCACATAGAGATAAGGAATGATGAATCACACAGTCCAGATTCTCTTCAATTAACTGATTTTGTAAACTTGGGCAAGACCTTTTTTCCAAGTCTCATCTTTATTATGAAGGATATTGTACTCAATGATCTCTAAGGGCTCTTCCCACGGTCAGACTCTGTCTCCCATGGTCCCTCTGTCCTCCCTTCTCCTAGCAAGTGAAACTTGGCAGCCCTGATTACATAGACTGTGACAGGGAAAAAGTTCTGGAAGACTTTCTAAAGAGAATAGAGTGCTACGAGGTCAACTACCAACCCTTGGATGATGAACTGGACAGGTAAGAGCCCAGAACCCCAAAGTCCAGTTCTGGATCCTTAGCCCTGTTTTGTCCTGTAGGACCTGGGGAAATGTCCTCCCTCTCTGGGCCTCAACTTCTCGATCTGTAACATCAGGGAGCTGACCTTGATGATCTGTCGTCAAGGGCCCTTCGAGCTCTAATTATCCATGAGGTGGTGATTCCTTGATGTGTAAGCTGTTCACGAGAGGACTGAAGTAGTGCTTTCCTGACCAATATGGACAGCAATCAGGACCCTGATCTCTGGGAACAAATGCCTCACTCCTGTGGTTATTGCTATTATTTTTCCAAAAGTATTCTTCACACATGTATGACACTTCAGTTTCCAAACATGTTCACCTTCTCTGTTTTGTTGAATCCCCTCGGCACCCCTGTGAAGGAGGCCAAAATAGGTCTTATGGTCATATATTTTCAAGAAGAGGAAATTGAGTCTTAGAGAGCTAAAACCACTTACCCAAGCTCCCACCACAAGTCAGGAGTACAGCTAGAATTCTAACCACATATTCTATCTCCTAGTTATATCTCCTTTCACAATGCCCATATACCTCTTCAGTCAATAAGTATTTGGACTTTTTGGGCTGTGGAGTACATAGGGGGTGTAAATAAGGGCAAGAGAGGTGGGTTCTCTCCTCAGGTAGCTTCCATAGTACCTTGACATATGGGAAGACACATGAAAAATATAAAACTTTCATTCATAATACCAGCTAAAGATTAGAGAGGTGTTAGCTGGCAGTACAGGGAAGATGTGAGTTTTAGACGTAAGGTGTTCCCAGAACCCTACTTTCTTTCAAAATGGGTTGTGATGAGAAGAGACTGTGGTCACTGAGACCCTTTGGGCCCCAAGTGAGAAGTGTGAGGCTTCAAATAGTCATTACAACCCTAAGAAGTCTAAAGAGCATTCTTCCAGCTTTGTCCAACTGAAGTCCTAAGAGATGAGAATTGTTACTGCTTCACTTAGATGGGAAAGCAGACCCAGAGCAGAGTAAGGGCTTACCTGAGGCCACACAATAAGTCAATAGCAGAATATATACTCAAACCCTTATTTTCAGACTTCCAGCTGGTTCTCCCCCTCCCACATCGCTATATCATAAAAAGTGTCACATGAGGCTTAGACATTCATTGCAAAAGGGTCAGGACCTTAAGTACAATTGTTAAGATTGTTCACTTGCAAGGACAACCATGTCAAGGGTACACTTGTTTTTCTCATCAAGGCATGCATTCTGTAGTGAGACTGTTTCTGCCTTGAGGAAAGTGTAACTTTTTCAAATTTCTGCAAAGGCATCATATGGGCTAGCAGCATATGGTGAAAGAAGTTTGACGGAGGGAAGCTGAAGTAAAAGAACAGCATTGAGAAAGCCCCTAGCCTTCAGCCTAGACTCCTGCAGGTGCCCAGTTAGTGTTTGATGAATCAATTTGGGCCTGAAGACAACTGATTCTGAAGGTTGGCTTTATTTAATCATTTTTCCATCAATAGACATTTATAGTCAATGCATCAGGGGCCAGCCCTAAGCTGTGCCCTAGGAACCCAAAGAGGGAAGGGCTGTTCCTGCTCTGATAGAATGCCCACCTGGTTGAGGAAGACAGTGAGTATACAGTTGATCAGAATTGTAGGGATGGTAAACCAAATGGTCTGGAGGAACACAGAGGAGGAGACCCAGCCCAGCTTGGAGGAAGAGATCTGGAAGAGCAGATTTACCCAGTAGGTGGACTAGACATGTGTTTAGGGTACCAGCAAGGTAGAGGCTACCAAAAATAAGAAAATAATCTTGGAAGCTTTTAATATTTTATATTTCAAAAACAGTATGAAAGAGTCAAAATGGAAAAAATAAAATCAGAACTTGGTAGAACCTCCTCATATTATAATATAGTTTATAATTTTTACTTTGAATTGCACATGGTTGGCGTTGGAATTAGCTACTATAATACTTGTGGCACAAAACACCTCTTAAATGACTTCACATGATCCTGGGCTCAAAGAAGACTTCCTAGAGAGAGTGAATATACTGTCTCTTGAAGTATGGATGCATAGGAGCTCAACTTTGGAAATCAGGCAAGGAACGTCTTTTCAAGCAAAGAGAACAGCACTTTGTAATGGCCTAGTTAAAACTGAATGAGAGTAGAAGGGTTCAAAGAATATTCCAGCAAAAGCATAAAGTCTAGAATGAAATAGAGAAAGTTATGAGCATGGGCCTGGGACAGTAAGGTGAGGCCAAATGGGACCAGTGTGTGAAGACACGTACCTAGAATGTCAGACTAAACTGAGGAATTTGGAAGTTCTTCTAGAGCCACACAGGACCCAGTATTAGGAACAGACAGTAACCAGGCAACAAGGCTACCTCAGATATTTTCTACCCTTAGGCTCTGAAAATCCTAGACAAGATGGTTGGAGAGGTTGACCTTAGGCAAATCACTTCCTCTCTCTGTTTCAGTTTTCTCACCTATAAAAGAGAGAGAATAATCTCTGCTTCCTAGCATGGTTATGAGGATTCATGCACTTTAAAGTCCCCACTCTCTGCCAGCTGCACAAAAAAATGTTCAGCAAATGCAAGTGCCCTATGGGAACTGTTAAACATGGATGACAGGGCTGGGCATGATAAGTATGGTGCAGATAGAAAGGCCTTCTCTAGGAAGATCAGAGAAGCATTCTGAAACCAAACCTGTCAACCACTGCCTTAGTTGTCTTGGGTTAGTGCAGCTGTTCCCATTCACTTGGTTTTGTTACTTTGTACCCGGGGTTGCTGGTGTGTCACCCCATTGCCCCAGCCTCCCCTACCTCTTCCCAGGGATCGCCCTGAACTCCCTACAGTCCAACAACTAAAGGATTAATGCCTGACATAGCAGGACCTCAGAAGTCTTGCTCCATGGTTCTAGTCCTCTGATTAGTCAGTGCCCCCCATTACCAGCTCCTCTGCAGACAGGTTGTTTAATACGTTTGATTATCACTTCATGTATAGTTATTAGTTCGTGACAGAGCACAGAATCAAGGGGATAACAAAAAGGCTTACAGCAAGGACCACAGTTCCCCAATGATGTTGTGGACCACCCCATACCCCAGTACTTAGCATACCTTAGATTGAGTGACTATTTGTGGAATGGGTGTTAAGCATTGATCATGTGTTTCCAAGTATATGTTTTTGACTGGCCTAAGAGCTCCCAAAGGGCAGATGCTGAGTCCTCACCCTGAGCACAATGCTTAGAATAGAGCACAGTGTATTTGTTGACTACATGGCAGATAGGGAAAGAACCCAACCCACTCCCCTTTCTGAGTAAGGAGAGAGACATACAGACACAAGCGTGCACAGGCACAATCTGGTAGCTGCCTGTGGAGTGTCAAGTACAATATATTGTAGCAGAGGCTCAAAGGACAGAGAGGCAGAGCTCGGCTTCAGATTTGAAAGGGTGAGGGAGTGGACAAGTCAGGAGCTGCTAGTGAGATGTTGGAGGCAGCCAGGGACACAGAGGATTACTGCTTCTCTCTGAGTATGTAAGGAGTGTGAGCCACAAAGGAGAGAAACCCTGATGCCTGGAGTGTCATAAGTGAAGGTAAAAAGAGCCTGGCTCAAGCTGAGATTGAGGAAAGGAGACAGGGAAATGGTAGCAGGCAGTCAGCTCCTCAGGGTGGCCAGGAACCAAATCTCTAGAGCTTCTTCTAGGTTCTAGAAGGTTCTCTAGTCTTCTAGGTACCTAGAACAGAGCAAGCCCTGGTATCTTATTAGAGGAAAGGTAGGTGAGAGATGGGTTGTGGAGGAGGCTTGGAGGCAGGGTGTGTGGTTGGGGCTTTCTCTTGGGATCAGCCTCTCCACTGTTAGCCCCTGAGCTGCCCTTGCTCCTGCTTGGGCTGGCCCAGCCACCTGTCCTACATCAAGATCTTCGACGTGGGCATGCGCTACATGGTGAACCGAGTGCAGGACCACATTCAAAGTCGCACAGTCTACTATCTCATGAACATCCACGTCACACCTCGCTCCATCTACCTATGCCGGCACGGTGAGAGTGAACTCAACCTCAGAGGCCGCATCGGAGGTGACTCTGGTCTCTCAGCTCGAGGAAAGCAGGTAGGGAGGGCCCCATGCACCCAGAGGGTGGAGCTGGCCCAGGTGGACCGTGGGTGGGTGGGTGGCCACTGCTTGGGTCCTGAGGATGGGGGGACTCAGTAACAGGGTAAGAGCAGGTTCTGGTCACTCTCACCCTTCCACCTTGTCAGCCACTCAGGCTTCACCCATCCTTGGATGGCTCCCGTGTGCCGACTGCATCTCCAAGTCCGATAGCTTGGTCCTGGCACTCCAGGCCTGCCCAGATCTGGCTGCTCCTTCAGCCCCGTTACACTGAGTACCCTTTGCCCCTGCCTGACTCGTCCCTTCATCTTTCTTACAACTCTGTGCCTTAGCTTGTGCAGCTTCCCCCACCTAGTCTGTTGTCTTCTGTCAGCTGGTGAGCATCACTTGCACAGACAGCTGCCTTGAAGTGCCTCACCCTTGAATCCACCTTCTCCTCCTTTACTCAGGGCTGATGCTACACCCCCTCCCACCACTGCAGGTCATCACAGTGTCAGCACTTGTCCCCCACCAGTTACGAGTTCTTTCCTGCCCTCCCTGCCCCACCCCCTTCCAGGGCCCAGCTCCTGCTCCATGGTCTGGTCCAGGAAGCCCTCCCCTGTCCTCTCCTGCCCTCTCAAGCAGGTCATCATGCCCTGGACTCCATCTCTCCCAGTTCTGGTCCATCTCTGACTCTACGGCATGAGTCTCTTCTGTCCAGCTGAACATAGTGACCTGCACATTATGGGTGCTGGCTAAATACAGGGACACATTTTCCCCTGCATTTGGCCCTGGGCCTGGGCTTGTTCGCACAAGTATTGTTCTTGCTGGGAGGATGGCTTGGGGTGGGAGAAGTGGGAAATGGGGTGCAGGATGGAGGGAGAGCCCTCATTTACTGGACACCTGTGCACAATCATGGCACCATCTGCTTCCACATGTGTGGCCTCATTTAATCCTCACAACAGCTCTGAGGGATGGGCACTACCGTCACCAGTTTATGGATGAGGAGGCTGAGCCCAGTCCGGAGCAGAGAGTGGCCCCAGGTCACACAACTGGTAAAGGACAGAGCCAGGGCTGAAAACCAGGCCTTCCTGATGCCCCTCAGCATCCCCCACTGCAGAGGTGGCAGATTCCCAGGCAAGGCACCACACTGGAAGGCCCAGTTCTTGTGGCTCCCTTTCTGTTTCCTTCAGACTGGCAACCTCCTCTCCAGGTAGACTCTGACCTCTCTTGCTTCTCAGAGCAGAGTCAGAGGCCACTAGAGGCATTACCCCCTCCCCAGGGCCCCACCTGCAGCCAGGGGTCTCCCAGTTGGGGCTGGCCACAGCCCTGCCCTCACAGCTCAGTACCCACTTTGAACACGTGGCCATCTCCACACAGCATGCCTCCCTTGCACACAACTGTGAGCTTGTAAACACACACGCCTGGCCCCAATCTTCACACTCATGGGCACAGTACACCATGCATGGTTTACAAAGCACCTTCCCATCGACTATAACCTACAATTAATCACAGTAGCTCTCACCTACTTTGTGCCAGGGGGCGCTCTGGGTGCTCCGCTTCCACTAGCTAACGTGACACTCACAGAGACCAGGCTGGGTGATCTAATGCTGTTCACACCTTACAAGCAGGAGATACAAGGCCAGAGAGGAGCAGGGATGCGTCCTGGGACACACGGAGGCCATGTAAAGGAGCTAGGACAGTTTAACCCCTGTCATCTACCTCCCAGTCAAGGGCTCCTTCCACCAGAGCACTGGTGCTCATCATAACTGGTGCTCACACTGACTCATAATCCATAATTATAGTGTGTGTTAAAAATGCCTGTATTTGTGCATAAAATTGTGTGCCTGTAGCTATACATTTGTGTAGATGTTCCTCACACACAATCTGTGATTAATAACATATCTATATGCAGAAGAAGAGCAAATCACTTGCTCATCTGGGATCCCCCATCCCTTCGTGGTTCCTCTTGGTGATGTCATTGTTTCCCTCACTGGACTGGCTTTGTTTTGAGAGCAGGCCACCCCAGTACCCAGCACATGGCCACACATACTCTGTACATGTTTGAATGCCCTTAGAACCTGGGTACCAGGATCCCTGCTCAAGCAATGAGAATTCACAGGGTCAAAGAGAAATGTCCCCCAAATCCTACCCCTCCCACTTCTAGACCACACTCTGAGCACCCAGAACCTTAGAAATCCCTGCCTTTGTGGCCCAGACTCTGCTTCCAGTGCCTACATGGGCTTATCCCAGAGTGTCCACCTAAGAGCAGGCCACATCACAGGTGTTCACCCCCAGACGAAGGGGTGGCCAAGAGGTCACTTTTTGTGAATCATGGGAATCAGTAGAGATATGGTGTGGACAGAACTTAGTCATGTGATTACATTATCCACAAACATGTACTCAAGGCATCTAGGAGTGCAGGATGGAGGCAGAAATGGGAAGATAAGGGAGGTGGACTGTGGGTGGAGTGCCTCCATTTATACTCTTGTCCCCAGCTCCACAATGTTAGAAGTGGGCTGTTTGAATGAATGAATAACCGAGTAAGAGGTTGAGTGAGCAAGCATCAATACACACAGCCACAGACACACATTATACATATATACACATACTCTTTTCTATTTCCTTCATCCTTATTCACATGGGCAAGAGTATGACTTTTTATAAATTGGAAACATTTAAACTCTGTACTCTTATTTGTTCATCATCATTCCACCATTTGTGGTACATCTGAGCTTATTCTCATGGCTACCCTGTCTTCTTTCATTTCTCTCTTTCTCCCCTCCTATCCTCCTCTGCACCCCCAACTCCCCAGTATGCCTATGCCCTGGCCAACTTCATTCGATCCCAGGGCATCAGCTCTCTGAAGGTGTGGACCAGCCACATGAAGAGGACTATCCAGACAGCTGAGGCCCTGGGTGTCCCCTACGAGCAGTGGAAGGCCCTGAATGAGATTGACGCGGTGAGACGGAGGGGGATGGATTTCCTGGTGGGTGATGGGGCTTGACTCTGGGCCTATCCCCTGGATTGCCTCTGCTCTGACTCCTATAGGGGACCTAATTAATTCAACAAACATTTCTCGACAACCAGTCATGTACCAGATATTATTCTCAGTCTTGGGGATCCAATGAAGGCCAGAACAGACAAGGTCTCTGCCCTCATGGAGCCCAAAGGCAGACAGTAAATAAGACATTGCATCTCACGTGACAAAGTGTTGTGAGGGGGGAAGTACAAGGGACTATGGAGGCTCAGAAGGTGAGGGTGCTCCTGGCAAGACTTGGTGGTGGGAGATTTATAGGGAAACTTTCCTAGACAAAGCTAGAGGTGAGACAAGAAGCAGGCAAAATGGGCTAGAAGTAAGGGAATAAATTTAGTTCCAGTAACAGGGAACAGCTCATACAAAGGCCCAGAGGTGAGAAGAGAGCATGGTGTGTTCAGGGAACTGAGGAAAGAATAGCAGAGAGGCTGAGACAGTGATTGTGAGGTCTAGAGAGAAGGGAGGTGAGGTTGGAAAAGAAGGCAGCTCATAGGGGCTTTATGGTTCACGTTGAAGGATTTTGATGCTGCCTTAAAAATCGGAAGCCATTGATGTGGTCTAAGTTAAGGAGGAGTGGCCTAAATGTGATTCCGTTTTTTTTTTAAAGACCATTCTGGCCGTGTGTGGAGACTAGGTGGGAAGAGGGCCAGAATGGGCATGTAGACCAGTGTGAAGATGGCTGCATTAGTCCAAGCAAGAGGTGAGGGTGTAATGGACCAGAGTAGTTGCATTGGAGATGGAATGAAGAAGAAAGACTTGGAGAATATTTCATCTGTCCCTCATGACACGGCAATCTCTTTTCAGGGTCAGGTTTTCCCTGAGCTCTTTGAGAAGGCACTGTTTCCTCTCCGTTGTCTCATGTGCACTATAGGTACACTGACATGAGGAAGCAGCCCACAGGTTATGACTGGTAGACCCCAAAGTAAAAACTTCACCACAGGTGTAGATAACTTGCGTGTAGGTAGGTTAACTGGCTTGATAGATATACTTCTATAAATAGCGAGAAGTACGTGTGTGTATACATACCTACATATATACCTAACTATAGATGTACAGAGATACACATATTTAGAAAAGGGATAACAGCATTGTTCTACATGTCACATATATTTTCTATAAAATACATGCAACCAAATATGTAAACTCTTCATCATAAGAATTCAGTTACTGTTTGTTTCTGGCCCACGTGTGGTGTAAACATTTATTGGATACCTACTTCATTTCAGGCTCTGGGGTGGTGCTGGAGATGGAGATTGGTTCCCGTCTTCACTCAATTTTCAGGCTAAACAGGATAGAGGAATAAACAGAGGAATACAAAACAGCATGTGTGATACAGGCTCTGATAGGCTAGACTGTGCGCACACAGATGTCAGGGCAGGGCATCTGACCCAGCTATGACCCTCCAGGAGGAAGTGATGCCTAGCTGAAGCCTGAGGGTTGAGGAACACTGAGCCAGGTAGAGAGGATCAGGAATGGTATGTCAGGCAGAGAGAGCAGCATAAGCAAAGAGGGTATTGTGTGTTTGTAGAACTGCTAAGGTTGTAGCAGCGGAGATGGAGAGGGAAGAAAAAGGAATAGATTTGAGAGAAATTTAGGAGGTAGAATCTCAAGAATTGGCTATGAGTGGGTGGATGAGGAAGAAGCAAGAATTTAGAATGATGCCTAAGTTTCTGGATTATTTTCCATGATCAATAATATATTAATAATTAGTTCCATTGACTGAGTCATTAAAATGTGCCTTATAAATCCTGTACTAGTTTCTTCTACATATCTATAATATTCAAAACACTTTTGTGAGGTAGTTTGTAATTTTGTGAGTTAGTTGTAATTCTCCTCATTTTGCAGATGAGGAAAATTAAATTCAAAGTTAGGCAATTTGCCTTAAGTCAGTAAAGAGTCAGTGCCATTTCCACAGACAACAGGCTCCCAACATGCCTCAGAATATAAAGTCAAAGCCAACCTGGAAGGAACTTATGTAGCCAGTAGGGTGTAGTTTCTCCCATGGGCAGTGTCGGTTGGAGAAGTTTGACACTGCAGAGCTGTTTGTGGGCTGGGACAGGGGTGAACCTCACCCCTAAGGGAAGCCTAGTAGATGGCTCAAAAGACAACAACCAGAGCCTATTGCCCCCTCTACAGGAAGGTCTAAATGGATTCCACACAACCAGAAGGAAGTCTTAGAAACACAACATCACTTCCCACCCCTACCAGCAGCCACCTCGCTTATGGGGATTTCTCAGTGGACATGGGAAGCTCTCATGTGCTCCTGAGGAACTCATTCTCTGAGCCCTCGAGTCCTTCTTTGGGTGAAAAGAGTGTGTCTCCCAAAGGCCCACTCTGAAACCATTGGGAACTTACTAAATCTTGCTTTCTGAGATGTCTGTGGATACCTGTTTCTTTATCTGCCAGAGGTCCTGGAGCAGAGGCAGGGACAGAAAGGATGGGAAATGCTATAAAATGGGAGAGCACTGCTGTGGATGTGCACACATGTATGCACTTGCATAGACAGTCACAGACACCCACAAGTATGCTTACACTCACAGACATGCACTTCATGGATACATGGACTCACTAGTCAGACACACAGGCTTCCTCTCAGACACATCTACCAATCACATCTACGCGATATGTGCACACACATACACACAGACAGACACACCTAGAGATACATATGGCCACACTCACCATAGACACACATGAAGTTTTTGCATATATCTACATCACCTGGACACAGAGAGGCATACCACGGACATGCATGCAGACACATAGCCTTAAGCATATTACCACAAATTCACAGACATAGGCATACAGATACCTACATATACACTAGAGACATAATCAGGGATATAGTCACAGATAGACATGCCACAGACACACTGAGACACACATGGAGAGACAAACCATAGAGACATCCACACGGGCACATTCTCAGATGCTCAGACACCCTGTACACACACACACTCACACAAACACACTACATATGCCTAGACAAATACACAAATACAAGGCATAAGTCCTTAAACCAACCACAGGTACACATCATAAGCATGCTGCACACACACACACATGCAAACACAGTCACAAATCCTAAACCCACATATTTATAAAAATACGTACTTATATGTACAATGTACATCTACAAACCTGTTGGGACAATCATAGAGATACGCTGGAGATACCCACCATACACTCAGCCTGAACACACCTATACACATTCACTCACTCTCACATCTGCACAGCCACACACTTCATGCACACAAACACATATACAAGTCAGACAACAGGCACAAACCTAGAGCTGTGTTCACAGAAAACCAGGTGCTCATGTGCTACTGTTCCACAATCATTGGCCTCAGAACTATGGTAACTTTTGTTTCTAAATGATTTTTCTTAGGGTGTCTGTGAGGAAATGACCTATGAGGAAATCCAGGAACACTACCCTGAAGAATTTGCACTTCGGGACCAAGATAAATATCGATACCGCTATCCCAAGGGAGAGGTAAGATTTGGAGGGGTGGCCTGACTTCTAAGACTCCTCCCCAGTATCTCCATTCCAACCTCCAGGATTTCATAGTTTCCTAGACAGCTTTAGAAACAAGGTAAATCATATTTTGCAGCAGATGCCATCCCACAAGACACATGATTATCTGGCCCTTGGCTGTCTCATATTCTTGGCTATAGGCAACAGGTTCCTCTTTTTTTAAAGCTACATATTTCCCTGCTTATTTCCTCTCTGCTTTCAGGAAGGCTCACTTTATCCTAGACTTTGTCTCTGGTATCCCTTCACTAAAGGCAATTGAAATAGTTTGACATACTCTAATTTCCTGACGTTTTATTTCCAAATTGCCTAAAGCTCCAGCCTTTCTGGAAGTGGGTTGGAGTCCCAAGGGACAATAGCTAATAGTTTAACCAACTTCTTTGCCACCACATGAACCAGGCCATCACTTCCCTATCCCCATATGAGGTGAATCTTCATTGCTTTCAACCCAGCCTCTATTTAGCCAGTTCCACATTTTAGAGTATTTATTAGTCATACTCCATTTCTGATACAAATTCCTAGGAACAATTATCAGAAAAGCAGGACATCAAGGAAGATAAAACAATAGATATCTTGTGTTACAAAGCACTTTCACATTTTTATCTTCATGCTCAGAAACGACCTTATAAAGTCAATCTGAGTTTGCTTTCATTTTCCTTTATATATGTTGAGGCTATGTTATTAGAGGCATACAAATTTAAAGCAATTATATCTTCTTAGTGAATTGCATAATGCTTTTTGCCTAAAAATGTATTTTATCTAATATTAATATAACTAAACAAGATTTCTTCTGGCTAGTATTTGCCTGGTTCATGTTTATCTACTTATTTACATTCAACTTCTCTGTGTATTTTTGTTTTGTGTCTCTTGTAAATAGAATATAGTTGGCTTTTGTTGTTTTTAATACAAACTGAAAATATATGTCTTTTGAATAGTAAATTTGATACATTTACTTTTATTGTAATTACTGATTTATTTGAGCTTATTTATAGTCTTTTGTTTTGAGTTCTCTATGCTTAGTTTCTTTTTCTCTTTTTCTTCCTTCTTTAGAATTTATAGAGTTTTACATCTATATTTGAGTTATGTAGTCTGTTTCCGTTCTTTTAGAGGTTACTCTTTAACATTTTAATATACATGATTAATAAACTCTAAAATCAATATCTCTACCCTCCCCCTAAAATAATATAATAACTTTAAAACTCTGGTCATTCCCTCTCCTAACTTACATGTTAATTGTTGTTTTGTGTTTCAGTTCAAGCTTGTGTCTTAATCCCCAAATAAATTATTATTGTTATTATTAAACTTATTATTGTATACAGTGTTTATTTAGATTTAACCACATATTTACCAATTCCTTTGATCATTCTTCCTCCTTGCATCTCAAGTTTTCCTTCTGAGTTCAATTTCTATCTTCCTTTAGAAGTCTCTTTAGTGAGGATCTGTTGGTAGGAAACACCTTTCTTTTTGTCTAAAAATGTCTTGGGGAGGTTCAATCCTAGACGATACTTTGGCTTGGTATAAAACTCTAAGGTTGACAGTTGTTTTCTCTCAGCACTTTGGAGATATTACCCCCACTGTCTTCTGGCTTCTAATGTGGCTAAGAAGTCTCCTGTCAGTCTAATTGCTGTTTCTTTTCTCTCTGGCTCTTTTTAAGGTCTTTGTATCTTTATTGCTTTTAAGTTCCACTCTGATATATCTAAATATTCATTTCTTTTCTATCTTGATTGGGATTAGTTGGATTTCCTGAATCTGAGGACTGGGATTATTCATCAATTCTACAAAACTCTCAGACATTATATCTTTATTCCTTTCTCACATTCTGTCTATTATCTTCTTCTGGAAATATAATTAGATGTGTGTTAATCCTGTCTCTATCCTTTAAGTCTCCTAACTTCTTATTATTATTTTCAATCTCTTTGCTGCATTCTGAGTAATTTCTTCAGCTCTATCTTCCTAAATTGTATCTAATCACTATTTCTTAAGTTGTATCTAATCTGCTATTTACTCCATCTATTGAGCTTTCAATTTTAATGAATATGTTTTTCATTTCTAGAAATTCTATTTAGTTCTTTTTCAAATCTACATCATACATTTGATAGCATCTTGTTTTTTCATTATATTTTTGATTCCATGTTTTATTTCTTTAAAAATTTCAAACATATTTATTTTATATTGTGGATCCTTTATCTTAAGTTTTTAGGGTTCTCCTCTTGTTGTTTCTGCTTATTTTCACTTGTGATAGCTTATTTTCCTCGCATGTTATGTGAGCTTCAGTTTGCCAAAAATTTATCTATGAGAATCCCACGCAGCTTGAGTTGAGAGAATTTCTATTTGCTTCTTCCAGACTCTCTTGGGAACTAATGACTTGAAAAAAGTTTTTATTAAACTCTCAGCTTAGCATTTTCTACAACACATAGGTAGTGTAATTCTGAACCATAAACCCACCTGAGTGTAGGCTTGTGGTTATACATTCTTACAAGAGGCTTTTCCTAATTTTTTCCACCAAGAGTCAAGCAGAGACAGATAACATGTTCTTATTGTTTCCCTTTGCCTGTGGATATATTTTCTTTCTAATTTACATTTCTACTGAAGATATATCCCTTTGAGGGTCTCAGATTTATGTGACAGTCTCAGTCTCAACTCCCTATTTTGTGCACACCTAACGCCTTGTCTCCTGTTTCTATGTTTTAAAACCTCAAGCCTCTTGGATACTGTGATTAGCAAATGTCCCCAGGGCAGTTGTGGCTTCTACATCCACAGATCACTCTTTTTATCCAAGTTTTTCTTCATTTTGGAATCTTATATTCATAATGTTCCCTTCATTTTCTTGAAAGGTCAGCAGTGTAGGCATTTATTTTATCTAGCTTTTCTAGGAATTTTTTTAGTGAGAAGTTTTATTATTGTTATTGTTACCTCGTCCACTATATTGATTGCCCCCATTTAATAGATGAGAAACTAAGACCCAAAGAAGGATGTGAGTTGCCTAAGATCATACTACTGGGTCAATAACTGAACTGGCACCAGAACCAAGTTTTCCTAATTCCTAGTCTAGAATTCTCCTCTGGGCAAATGTGCCTCATCTCCCTTTCTTACCCAAGTATTTCTCTCACTTTTAGTCCTATGAGGATCTGGTTCAGCGTCTGGAGCCAGTTATAATGGAGCTCGAACGGCAGGAAAATGTACTGGTGATCTGCCACCAGGCTGTCATGCGGTGCCTCCTGGCCTACTTCCTGGATAAGAGTTCAGGTACCACTGTCCTCTCTGTGCCTGGTGTGAGGAGCTGGATGTGGTTTGAGACCCTGACACCAGCAATTAGTGGTTGATATCTTAGTAGTTGACAGCACAGTATCTAAAACAGTGATTCCTGAGTTCAAGTTCTTGCTCCGTCACATACTAGCTTTGGGAAATTACTTTAACCTCTCTGGCCTCAGTTTCCTCATCTATAAAATGGGGAGAATAGTGATAAAGTTTAAATAATTCAACATGTGTAAAGAGCTTAAAACAGTTCATGACACATAGTATGGGCTATGTAAGTCTTAGGTACTGTTATTAGTATTAGTATTATTCTGAGCTAATGTTTATAAAGCCAACCTTAACAGGCTGCCTCAACCTGAAAAAGCTGAGCCAGTCTCTGAAGCATGCCGTCATCAGATGGTAATGGGACCTTTCATGGCCTCATGATCCTGATTATAGGTTTCTGTCTTTGCCATAAGGATGATTTCCCCAACATAGTGATGTTTTCATTTTAAATTTTTTAAAATGATAATTTCTTTTTAAAAATTATCTAGACATTGTAATTTACAGAGTATCTATATACTGACTACATATGCTGAACCGCGTACTGGGGCAGATGGCCTGGCAAGGGACTGTAGTGTCACCTTCGGGTGTGAGAGTCCATTTCTGATGTGGATGCTGAAGTGTTGGCATCTCTGGGATACTGTGAGGGTGTGTGAGGACAGTGCAAAGTCATATTTGAGGGGTACGATGTCCTGCAGACTTGGATCTTTTCTACGGTGCTAGTTTCAGAAAAAAAAAAAAGTACTTGTAATATGGAGTCATCTAGATTTGGAACCCGGGGAACTCGAGACCTTGACATTGGACAAGTCATCTCCTCTGCCTGGCCCTCAGTCTCCTCGCTGTGAAAAGGTGCTGGGGGTTGGGGTGGGGTCCTTGCTGCATTTCTGATACCGGCCACATCTCCACTGCTCACTGCTGTCTTTGAGACTGCAAGGTGGGCCCTGTGCAGATGAGGAAATGGAGGCTCTGAGAGGTGAAGTGACTTGCCCAAGGTCACAGGGCTCAGAGGGGCAGGGAGAGGCATTGATCTCAGGTGCATTCCAGAGGCCCTCCCCTCTCAGATACACGTGGAGTGCGTGGGGGGCACATGCACCTCCCGTTTGCACACGGATTTACCCACATCCTACCCGCTTTCATGCACAGGCCACACCAGCTGCTCACAGCTGCCCTGGGAATGGGGCCGGGCAGGGCTGGGCACACGCTCCTACCCCTGTTACTCAGGTAAGGAAACTGAGGCCCAGAGAGATGATGTGACTAAGAATACAGACCCACAGGACCTCAGAGCTGGGGCGCCCTCAGAGTACATCTAGTCCAGTCCTGTGCTGTGAGAGATGGAAACACTGAGGGCCAGAGAGTAAAAGGCGGGGCCAAGGTCACTCGTCCAGGCGGTGGCTAAGCTGGGGCAGAGAGCTCAGGTAAGTCACTTTCCTTCTCCGAGTGTTCGGTCACGTGTGCAGTGAGCAGCAGTAACCCTCACAGAGTATCAGTGAGGATGGAATGAGATAGTGCACCAAAAGCGCTGGGCCCAGGGCCTGACCATGATGATGACAAAGATGAGGAGGAGGAGCAGGATGGATGCCCAGGTTATCGCCAAACCCGATGTCTGGGGAGGCTGGGAGGGTGGTGGCAGGCCCTAAAAGTTTAGGATGAGCCTCAGGGGCAGGGAAGCCGTGAGGGGTGGGGTTCTGGCTCAGCGAAGGGAGATGGGGAGCGGTATGTGCAGCTCGGGTGGGTGTCTGTGGAGAGGGGTGAGAGGTGGGTGTGTCACCCCATGACACTATGAGCCCCTTGAAGGCAGTGGCAGCCGACTGCAGTGGGCAGAGCACACATTTGCCCTCAAAGGGTCCTGGGTTCGAGGCCCAGCTTCCTGGCTGTGTGACTTAGGACAAGTGTCTTCACTCTCCGAGCCTCAGTGTCCTTTTCCATGGAATGGGCCTGGTCATCCTCCCCTCTCAGAGCTGTCTGGCTAATAACACCTAGGCCCGTACAAGAAATTGTACATGAATATTCAGAACCACTTTATGCATAACAGTCAAGAAGTGGAAACAAGTGAATCGAGGAATGCTTGTCCATCAACAAGTGTGAGAGGAGTCAGAGAGCGCTGGTCTGGGCTGGGGAGAAAGCTGTGGGAGCTGCCAAGGCGCATGCACACCCCTTCCAAGGGCCCTGGAGCATAGTAGGGTCTCAGAAAACACTTGCTGAGACGCAGTGTGGGCCTTTGTGGTGAGGGGCCCCAGGCTGGGGGCGGGAGGGACGATGTCATGTTTGCTCTGTAAGTGAGGATGTAGGCTGCCTCCTAGGCGACCAGCCTAACCCCCTGGGGGACCCACAGTCTGTCCCCAGGGCCCTCCTTCCTCCCTGCTTCCAAGGCCAGCTGGCTCTTCTCTTCCTCCCTGAACACCATGCTCTCAGCACTGCCCCCTGCAGAGTGCAGGGGAGTGGGCCCCTGGTGAGGACCATGGAGAGTGGGGGATGGGCGGGGGAGAGTGCTGCAAGCCTGGAGGCCTGGGGAGGTGGTGCCCTCCCTAGCACCCTGTCTCTGATGGCTGCTTTCTCCTCTTTTCCAGATGAGCTGCCGTATCTCAGGTGCCCTCTGCACACAGTGCTCAAACTCACACCTGTGGCTTATGGTGAGTGCCCCCACCCTCATGTGGGGAAGTAACATACAGCCCATGAGCATGCCTCCATTGCCTACCATTTGTCCAGCAAAGACCTGGAGGAGGTTCTCTGGGTGGGTAGTTGGATGTCCTGGTAGAGTCGGGACTGGTGGTAGCAAGATGAGAATGGGGAAGGACTGGGATGGCCTCTAAATCTGAACCCTGGCCCCAACTTTCTCTGTCTCTACCAGAGCACTGAGCATAGAGTGCCAAGCTTTAGAAGGTGGTATCCCCAAAGGGGACCAGAGGAATAAGTGTAGGTTGGGGCTGGATTGAAGAAAGGGCTCAAAGACCAGCTGGGTAATTTAGACTCCCTCTTGGGGCATTAGTTAGCTATGAAATGTTCATGAGCAGGGAAAAGAGAGACTCAATTCTCTTCTGGGGTGTGGACAGGGCAGACAGTGTACTGAAGCCTGGACTGGGGTATAATCCACAGGGATGGAGCTAAGGGGGCTTCCACAGGGTTTGGGCCTCTTCTGCCAGCCCAGGCCCCACTGATCCCACCCTCCTCTTTCTTCAGGATCCCCAGAACTCCCTTGTGACCTTCCACACCTCTGGTGTTGCCATAACCACATTGTCCTCTAAATAAACTTTACCTGGACCTGATCACTCCAAGGCAGTGGCCCTAGGACTCTTC